GCCCTCTGTATCCATATTAACCCTTGTAGTGTCATCAACAATCACATTTAATACCCTCTATACCCATATTATCCATTGTAGTGTCATCAACAATCACATTTGATACCCTCTGTACCCATATTATCCATTGTAGTGTCATCAACAATCACATTTGATACCCCCTGTACCCATATATCCTTGTAGTGTCATCAACAATCACATTTGATACCCTCTGTACCCATATACCCTTGTAGTGTCATCAACAATCACATTTGATACCCTCTGTACCCATATACCCTTGTAGTGTCATCAACAATCACATTTGATACCCTCTGTACCCATATACCCTTGTAGTGTCATCAACAATCACATTTGATACCCTCTGTACCCATATACCCTTGTAGTGTCATCAACAATCACATTTGATACCCTCTGTACCCATATACCCTTGTAGTGTCATCAACAATCACATTTGATACCCTCTGTACCCATATACCCTTGTAGTGTCATCAACAATCACATTTGATACCCATTGTACCCATATCAACCCTTGTAGTATCATCAACATTTACATTTGATACCAACCGTACCTCAGAGTTTATGAGGAGTTCATAGTTTTCTTATGACCCACCCATGAGTCTATAGCATCGTAAATTCAATTAATAACTTTCGCCAATCGGGACCTGTGATTACCCATGATTCGCGTACAGCTGACGTCATACCACAATCAAAGCATTGGAGATTTTTACAGTCAAATTATTTACTTAACACCATGAACAGCAGTGATCAATATTAATTTCACTCAAAAATATTTACCAACGTACCAGCACTTATAAAGATCACCAATATTATTCATATAAAACCCAAGACAATATTTGTACACACATGTGGTGAATGTGTACGCACTGCAGCATGTAAAACTACGGATAGTATTCTTTTTAGTATTTTATTTAGGGGTTTCAATATACCGGGTAATCTAGAAATGATGTTTTTCCCACAACACTTTGCCGTATTCGTGTATGTGGATAATTAGACTTAAATTGGTTGAAGTCGCACTGTGAAAATATTTCTATACCATATTTGTTCTATTAGAACCGCATCTCTGATAAAAGTGTATATAAAACTAAAATCACATGTTGTAAACTGAATAATCAAAATATTACTTATTTTGACAATAGAAACATCTCTGTAATGATTGCATTTCATTGAAATTTGATCAGTAGGCCTGGTTAAACTTATGCAAATTAGGAGATCAATATGCAGGGGTATCAAATTATCAGGTCAGCACATTAATCCAGAGCATCTATGTAACATGTTTCAGTGAAATCTAATGAGTTGTCCTGGCTAATTTATGCAAATTAGTAAATATATGCATGGATATCAACCAATTAGGTTTGCACATTTTCTAGAAAAAATGTCAGTCCATATCGTACAGCACTATTGTTTAATTTTAGCCAAGAGACGCTGATAGATTGCTTCCTTTTCAAACAAAAGAGACAATTCATCAGAATGTTGTCATCTTTTTAATATATTAATTAGGTTCAATTCATGACTGCAGTTCAGTTGTTTGTGTGTTATTTTATTCTAATTACTTCATTAAACTGTATCAAGGTTGCTCTATGAATTAATTCTAAAGTGATACTAAGTACTCGTCTTTAAAGGATAATGTCTATGATCGTGTGTGAGTATTCTCAGTATTTATTTAGCCCTTTCACCACCAGTTCCCTCTTTTCATCAAAAATTCACAAAATAGTTCCGTTTATAGTATGCATTTTTCTTCCCGAAGATCCTGACAAAAGTAGCTAATTTTTTGGAGTAAAAACTGAAAATTGACTGAAATTTTGTCAGTTTGGCCCCAAAATTAGGGTTCATTTCCAGAAATATTGAAGAATATAAGAAAAAAGTGCAGAAACATTTTAGCCGGAAAAGGTTAGCCAGCTATC